TACAAAGTTTATGTTCTTCCCCTCCAAGAAAGAAAAAGGACAAATAAATAGACCATCTGACCAACTCAATCCCCAGACTTAGCTACTACTTTGAGATAGACGCAGAGTACAGTTACGCAATTCTATTGTATAAGATGATTATTTATTAGGTTATAACAATCAGTTCCTTAATGCCAAATATCAGTTTGTGACACTGTAAGCTATGGAAAAAAACTCTTATTTTTACTGATCAATAGCTTAGACATTTTTTCCTCTGGGAAACCATCCCCTCCCTCACCAATAATATCTGATATGTATCAAATGCTTACCGTGTGAGCCGGGCATTGGCCCAACGGCTCCATACACATTCATTCATTTATCTCCCTTATATCCCCACAGCGTTATTATTTCCACTCTACAGATAAAGACTCTGGAGCTCATAGGTAAATAATTGTCGAACAGTACACCACTATCAGACAGTAAGGCTTCTCTGTGTACAGAGAAGACTTGAAACAGTATGCTATCTTGTAGTCTTCTGGGATATTTTCTTTTCTTTTCTTTTTTTTAATAGGGAGTGTGCACTTGGCAAAGATGGAGAGAGAGAGAGAGAGACGTAGAGAGAGAAAGCAAGAAATCACCTGCCAGGGGCAATGGTCACACCACAATACCCTCTCCTCCATTCTTCTCTCTGGATTTTAGGCACAAACACACACGTGTCCAGCATGAGTTTCAAACTGCCGGGTCAGGGACTTATACTGTAGTTGGCCATATGGGAGTCCAGTACCCAACCACTGCACCACCTGCTGGCCCCTTCTGGGACACCTGTGTGTGTGTGTGTGTGTGTGTGTGTGTGTGTTTAGACAGAGTCTCACTATGTTGAGATCCTCCTGCCTCAGGTTCCTGAATAGCTGGGACTATAGGTATGCACCAGCACAACTGGCTTTTAAGGTGGTTCTGGAACTGAACCTGGGCCTCCCACCTGGGAGCTGGCACCCAGCAGCGTCTAACACACTACTGCAGCTGGGCTCTGGGACGTTTTCACTGATGGAATCCGAACAGTTTATCTACGACATGCTCATTATCATCTTCCTCTTGCAACTAACGTTCCCTCTTGACTTCCCTACCTCTTTCAGCTCTGGATTTGTATTTATTCTTATCCACAGCTGGCCATTTTACAAATAGTGTCATATGAAAGATAAAAATCCTAAATCGGAAGTCATAAACCTCAAGACTCTGCCTCCCACTAACAGTGGGACTGCGGGGGCACTGGGTAACCTCAGTGGGCCTAACTTCCTCTTATGTTAAATAAATAACATGTCTTTCCTGCTCAATAGGTCTCCATGCCAGGCTATCTTTACATAAAGTTTATAAAATGTTTCGTTTTAAGAGCAAAGAAAAAAATTTAAAGCCATTTACACTAGAAAAGAAATTTATTCTGACTATTCAATCATATGGTTGTATATCATCATTTTATAGGAAAACAAAAAGAAGGGGAAGGAAATGTCTAAATTTTTTAAGTTCTTATGTAAAGTGTGACACATCTATACAATAAAATAGGATGTCACAATTCCTAGCTATGCTTTTAAGAGTTTTGAAAGATATCAAGAAATGCTTTCTGTATTAAGCACATATTAAGCACACTAAAAGGAATTCTAATTCAAATGTCTCCACCTGAACAGTCACTGGATTCATACACATTCTCAAATTACCTAATTTTCTAACATTTGGCTGCATTCTATCCTTCTCATCTTTCTTCAAGTTCTCCGTTAATCAAATGTAAGTATCTTAATACAATCATTTCTTTTGCATTTGGAAGCTTGCCAGCTACTGAAATATACAGATAGCATTAAAAGATGCAGGTCGACAAAGACAGTGTTTCACAAAATAATTGTAAGCACCAGTCCAGGGAGGCATGACGTGATTTCCTTCTGGGAATTCAACAAAGCAAGTAAGACCGAGGTGAAATTTGCTTAAGAACGAATCATAAATTGGCACTAGCAATAGTTGTTAGGCTGTCTGCTAGCAACCTGATGCCATTGAAAAACTACTCATTCTTAAATACTTAGTCTTTAAATGAATAAAACAAATTATGGAGGAAGAGGAGCCGCAGAATCCTGCCTCAGTGCAAACTTAGGAGAGAACTATAAAATCAAATGAAATGAAAGCACACAAGCAGTGTCAGCTCAGAGTGTCAGAGGACTTAAAATAATCTCTCCCCAGTGAGACTGTGAGTCGCCACAAAGGTTTGTGGAAGATCCTTGCTGCCTTGTATATTTGGGGGTAGAATTCCTTTTAACCACTTTCCCAAACATGAACCCTCTCATATAGAAGAGAGCAGTGAGCTCACTTATCATTTTGTCTCTCACTGTCGTAAAAATAAATAAATAAACTTTTAAAAATCTAGTCAATAATTTAATGAGCAATTACAGGCTTCTCAAGAGGAAGTGAATGGACCAATTCCTACCTGTCCAGAGAAAATGATCCTGCCAATAAGCAACACTGCCAGTAATTATGGTAAAACCCATTGAGACAGAATCACAGAATCACTTATGGGAAGACGTGGAACTTTACAGTGAAGGGTCACGCTGATGCCACCTTAACTCTGTGCTCAATTACAGCCTTACCAATGGGGACAACCAAAGTTATTAGTGACTCCTGATGACATGCAAGATGAGTACACATCACCACTGATGATGTCTAGCCAAAGCATGTGTCCAACCTAAGCAAGGCTTTGGACCTAACCTTCAGTTTGTGGACAGAAGTCTGACAATTTTTTCCTATTTTTCCAAAATCTTTTCAAAAGGGACTGGGGAAGTCATGCCCACAAACACTAACAGACCATTTATTTTCTATTAACAGGATTCTTCCTACCTCTTGTCCCTGGCATAGTATCTTTGAGATGTATATTTCAACCGATTACAGTATATTCTTTTGTTTATCTCTTCCCAAAACACAGAACTTGCTTTTCCTTGAGATGTATATGAAGCCTTTCTTTAACTAATCTCTTCCCAAGACACAGGTCTTCCCTTCCAATCACCAACCTAAGAATTGTGGAACCCACCTATAACCTACAAACCCCCCCGCCCCCGCTTCTACATGTTCCACCTTTTTGGGCCAAACCAATGGAAAATCTCTTCACTAAATGTTGTCTGTCAATCTCAAAAACAAATAAAAGGAACCTCTGTACATGATCACCCCGAGAAAAGCATGTATGCCTCTTCTCCGGGCTTAGATCACTCATATTTGGCTTGGAAATAAACTGCATTAATTATTAATTATTAATTTTACAGTTGGTTACTTTTCCATCAACAAGTTTCAGGAATTACAAGATCCAAAGGAGGAAATAAGTGACAAACTGAGGAAGAAATGACAAAAATTCAGGAGATGGGAGATTCTCTAGAACAACTGACTGGTCTCTTCAACAAGTCTAAGTTCGGAGTTTAAAAAGAGAGAGAAGGAGACTATTCTAGATTAACAGAAATTGAAGGAATATAACATTTAGATGCAGAGCACTGTACCAGACTAAGTTCTATTTTTATTTATTTATTTGAATAATTAATAATTACTTACTTATAATTTGCTATCAGGTATGTGTACTTGCCAGAGTGTATGTATACAAAGACAGAGAGGGAGAGAGAGGGAGAGTGAGAAAGCAGTGTGAGGGCCACACTGGAGGCAACTGTAAAAATGTGATTGTGCTGGGATGTTAGATAATATTAAGAATAACGATTGATTGTTTCTGTTCTGATGACAATTTGCCTATATAGAAAAGTAGTGTTTGTTTTTTTTTTTAAGAGCTGCATAGTGAACTATTGAGAGTAAAATGTTGAAATCCTGTTTTACTTTAAAATATTTTGATATAGGGCTGGTACTGTAGCCTAGTGGTTAAGGGAGCTGGATCCCAGATGACTGACTACAGTGTGAGTACCAACTATAGTAAGTTGTAAAACAAAATGAGCACATGTGTGTGCATGCCAAAATCCCAAAAGGATGAAGAAATAAAGGAGAAGGGATTGTGATATGACCATTCCCCACTGGGAGGTGCTTTCTCTCTCTCTCTCTCTCTCTCTCTCTGTCTGTCTCTGTCTCTTTCTGGCAAGCATACATGCTCTCTGGCAATTAAAAAATTTCAATATAAGCAACAAGTTTTTTCTTTTTTTTTAAGGGACCAATTACAAAAAACAACTGCAAAAAAATAAATATAAATGGTTCAAGTTTCAAAAACTATGCTCTTTGTCAAGGATTACAGTTAAAATGTAGAAAAAATGTACATGGACAGAGATATTCTCATCCAAGAGGCCTTCCCATGCCCTATCTACCCAAAAGTGCTAAATGAAATACTTTTAACAATTAAAGTAAAATATTGTTACAAAATATTCCATAATTTACTTTTAGAGAAAGTTTTACGCTCATCATACCAATGTTCAAAATTACTAAGGAGAGGAATTATTTACTAAGAAGAAGATCTGAAATGACAACACAATATCCCAGAATAATCATAAGGAATGTGGATTTTCAAATTTCTTTCTGTATTGCTCAGGCTACATTTCCATACCCTACTGGGAGTTATTTCCTTCGAAAATTAAAAAACATTATTTGTTCAGGGTACGTATCTAACAAGTATGGAAATGAAGGTCAGAAGTTTAGACAGTATTCAGGCGATAGGAAGTTAAACTTCAGTTACAAGCCAATGACTAGTGTGTCCTATATGATCGATTCAGTTGCTGTAGCCGACAGTGCCAGTCATTACATGGAATGATGTAAAGGCTACTAACAAAGGACAGTCAACTCTTAAATTCTTAGTGGCGTATAATCAATCTAATTCAGATACAGACAGCTTAGACCTGCAGAGTGCCCGGACGTGCTCTGCAGGGAGCCTACAGCCTAGTGCAGAGATCAAAGGTGGCTTTTTCCACTCCTTCAAGGAATGTACAATTTAAACAAACAGCACCTGCCTTTGGGTATGGAAATACTAGATTTAAAAATGTAAACCAAGCCAAAGGAGACCAGTAAAAACAAACCTGAGGCCCAGCTGCCTGCAGATGACTTCAGCGTCCGCATCATCCCACTGGTCATCACAGACGGTGCCCCACTGGCCAGCATGGTAGAGCTCCACGCGGCCTTCACGTGCACTGCTTCCTCCGGCCAGGCGGACGACAGGGAAGGCCGGGCCTGCGCATTGAGAAGTTACAACAGGGTAAACCCATGTATTTGCAAGAGTTGATAAGATTAGGTACATTCTTTCTGTTTTTGTTTTTGTTATTCTCAATAATTAATGGATATTTATTATCACAGCATTAATATGCTGCACAAGAGAAGCTGAATTCCACTGGATTCCATAGGCCAGCCAGGGTTGGGATCCAGAGAAGTCTGAAAACACTTCAGGCCTATGCAGGCACCCAAGGTCTTGAGGAGCTGAGGGCTGGGGAAAGGTGCTTCTAATTCTCCACGGTGTAAGTGGCTGTCAGTAAGTGGATATCTACACTTAAATTCAAACACAGCTTGAGAAGACCCTGTTAAGGGTGCTTCCTCTCTCTCTTTCATCTCTCTCCTGCATGTGTACACATTACCATAATTAGTAATAAGAAGAATATTTATTAAGCCACACCAGTGATATAGATATTCACATATATGTTTATTATGGTGCTCTAAATGAATTAAAATATCCCAAATTGAATTACATTCATACAAACAGGTCTTAAGACAAAAACATCTAAATTCACTCCCCCACCACCACAACCTAGAAACCATAAAAGACACATGCAAAAGCTCAGATTACTGCAAACATGTTTGATTTTTATTATATTATGGTAGTGACATTGATTTCTTTTATTTACAGTAACTTGAGCATTACCACCCTGTAATTGTTAAGAATGGCACTTGGGTCTATAACACACCTGTTTTCAGTATAGCATTATTTTTATACTTGTAGAAATGAAGCCCAAATTAATATCTAACGTATGATAACAAGGTGATAGAGGTTACAACCAGTACTTCCAAAACATGATATCAAAAATTCATGTGGACATAGATCTGTTCATATTTATGTACTCTATTAACCAAAACAGTGGTTCCTATCTCATAGACTGGAACACCCCGATTCCACCCTTGTTGGTTTCTGAACTTCTGTCTCCACTTCTGGCCTCATTCACTGGGCCATGGCCTCCTTCCTGCTTCCCCAAAACACTCCACACTGGTTTTCTCCTCAGGGTCATTGTGCTTCCTTCTGCTGGGAGCAATGTCCCTCCAATCTTCACATAGCCGCCTTCCTCTCATCATCCAGTCCCCAACACTGAAATGTCCTTCTTCAGGAGGCTGCCCTGGCTGAGCAAGCTAGAACAGCACCCTAAAGCAGTTCCTTCTACACTGCCTGATTTTGTCTTCCTTGGAGAAAGTACTTTCATCTAAAACCTTCATTGACTTATTGTTTATGTCAGTTGTCTCTCTTTTCTCAACTAGAGTGAGGAGAGAGATGCTGCTTTTCCCTTTCACCTGAGTCCTTCAGGTACCCTGTATACAGAGGGCATGTAATAAATATTTGTTGACCAACTAGACTGCCAAGTGATGCTAAAAACCTAGAAAGGAAAACCCAAACCAGGAAAAGCAATCGCCAAGATGCATTCATTCAATTCTGCTAAGCAAACAGCTATTAGACATCCGCAGGTGATCAGCACCACAGAGCACTCAATGGGCACTAAGTGGACACTGCCTTCAGGAAATACACTGCCCAAGGAGATGGACAAAATGAGTGTAGCCAAGCAAGTATAGAGAAAGCCCTATAGCTACTCAGAAGCAAGGGAGTTTATTCCCAGGTGGAGGTAGGTCAGGAGTCTCCTGTAAAAAAGCTAGTGTCTTCCTTTTTTTAAAATTTTCCTATAAGGTGCATACACTTAAAGGAGATGGAGGAAGGCGAGGGGAGTTAGAAAACACCAGGAGGAATGGCTATAGAGGGATCCCTTCTCTTCCATTCTTCTTTTGGGATTTGGGGCATACATGTACAGATGCCCAATATGTTTTTTAAGCCACCGGGTCCAGGACTTGAACCATGCAGCTGGCCATGTAGGATGCAGCTGCCTCAACCATCACACCACCAGCTGGCCTGCAGTTGTTATCTTATGAGGGCCAAGACACATAGGTGAGGTTTTGGAGATCAAAGATTAGGAAAGTGTGCTCAGGAAAAATGAACAGTATGAGCAAAAGCACAGAAGCACCAAGTTCCATGCGTTTGGGAAACAGTGAGACAGTCTGATTTCACTAGAATAAAGGATGCAATATGGTAAAAGGGAATCCCTATTAGAAAGTTTGGTTTCACTTTTTGCCAAATGCTAACTATTTATCCATATGAAATATGCTTCTAATTCTCCACGGTGTAAGTGGCTGTCAGTAAGTGGATATCTACACTTACATTCAAACATCATACTTCACTTTTGCAGCAGAGATTCAGATTAGTGAATATTTGCATGTATTTACATTTTTATATCTGTGGTGTAGTTTACTTACATAAATTAACTAGCACTTAGAATTTGTAATAGGATAAGAATGGGTTTAATATGATTAAATGATGGTAATAAACTTATAATTTTAATAAGTTGTGATGGTTATTTATTGTATTTACTTTTCCTTTGAAAAGCTTGGAGAACACAAAAAATATGCACATTTCTTAAGTTAATGTATTCTTCCCACATAAAACAGAAAAACAAAAAATTTTAAGAGACATTAAAAATCCCCCTAGAACTTAGAACTTTTATGGCATATTACCTTTCATTGTTTGCATTTCATTTATTTAAGAAACACAGGGATTTTTAAATAATTGTTAAAATATAGAAAAGCACAAGGACAAAATCTGGTTAGCATCCCTAATCACTCAACAAATAAAGAGGAACAATTTTGTAGAAAATTCAGTAAAGTAGTTGATTCATAATAAAAATAAAACTCTCTGGAGCCAGCAGGTGGCATGGTGCTTGGGGTGCTGGACTCCCACATGGCTGACCACAGTTCATGTCTCAGACTGGGTGTTTTGAAAATCACACTGGGCACATGTACATGTGTGCCCAAAATCCCAGGAGGAGAAGGGATTGTGGCATGGCCATCCACCATGGGGGATGATTTCTCACTTTCTCTCTGTTTCTCTCTGTCTCTCTCTAGCGAGTGCACATGCCCAAAATTCTGACAGGATGGAGAGATGGAGAAGGAACTGCAGCGTGACCAAACCCCATTTGGGGATGCTCTGCGCCCCTTCCTCCAGGTGCACACACACCCACTGGTAAATTTAATAAAAAGGGGGGAGGAATTTTACAAGGCATTAAGGTTTAGTGTGCAAAATAGGACTCCAGTCCTCAGAGTACATGCCTGCACATATCTTCCACTGGTTCACCCAGCCAGCTCACAGCAATTACTCTAAACTGGATCTCAGCGTTTTCTGGTGGGAGTTTTTTTTATATTCATTCTCTGATACTTGTATGCAAACAGAAACCACTGGGCTGGCTGCTAGCATTTCAAGTCCTAGGACTTCTGTTCAAGCTCTATCTCCAAGGAAAATCCAAGAAGGAATCTCCGAGGAAAATCCAAGAAGGGATATTTACTGCGAGTGTGCAGTAGCCTCAGATGATGGTCACACATTAAAATATGCCAGGATTGGGGCCAGTAGGTGGCATAGTGGCTAAAGCCTGGACTCCCACACGGTCACACAGTTAGAGTCCTGGACCTGGTGGCTTGAAAACTGTGCTGGGTGTGCATGCGTGCTTAAAATCCTGAGAGGAGAATGGAGGAGAAGGGACTGTGGCATGGCCATCTCCCCATGGGGGCGATTTCTCACTTTCCCTCTCATGATCTCTCTCTGTCTCTCTGATGAGCACACGTACCCTATGTTCATGTCTCATTTGAAACAAAACAAAACAAATATATATATGCCAGTATCCCCAGAAAACCCAACCACCTTCTTAAACAGCAGCTGTTCCCTCACTATGCATGTTCATATAAACACATACATGTCTGTGTACTTAAACCGCTGCTAATCACTGCTGACCTAGTGTGGGGCTTGAGAGAAGCCCTTATCCAAGCTAACAACCCAATTCTAGGGAATGTGCTAGCTACAACCCAGAGGAGAACACTGATACCATGACTCTATCCCATTATACAACATGCTGTATTTTATAGTGGGTTTTGAAATGATTTTCCATCTCGATTCCATCATGATTTTTCATGATCAAAATCAGTGCTTCGAACACAGTATATTCTACAGTCTATAATATACTATATTATACATGCAACATTTCTGCAAGCAAATTCTAGAAAATTATTAAAAATTATATATTATTCAAAATGAAATGGATTTAAAATTATTAGATGTACTCATATTGAAGACTGTTTCATTAGATTAGAAGATATAATTCCAAACTTATTTCTGAACATTTAAACTCTTTAAGAAATGACTTAGCTAGGACATTTTTTATCGTCTGGAATCATATTTAAAACACAAGAGAATTATTCATTTTTTTTTACCATGGGAAGGGCCACACGTGACAGCAGCAGCCATCTTCTGAGGACACGCCCCTCCCCTCCAGATGTCCTTCTCACACAGCAGTATATTTTCCTCATCTCCTCGGCAACGGACATTGCTCCAATAAATAGGAATAAGGCCCAGTCCAGAAAATGGGCTTTGTTTTGCTATTCCTTTTCCTCTGGAAGTACAATGAGCAGTGTTAGGTTTATGAAATGTAGATGGAATTTTTCATCAAAGCATTTGGATTTTTAAAAGTTGAAGAAATTAAAGATGGATATTGAAGGGAAACACACACACACAGGGTTACATACGTTTTAAAGAAAGCCAAAGATCAGGTCAGAACTTAGGTTAATTACCTCTTTATCAACCTTGAGTAACTATTTGTGCATACCTTAGACTGAATTAGGAGAAAATGGGCAAGGACTGTAGATATAAAAAGGGAGTCTTGGGCCAGCCCACAGTGTGGTGGTAAGATGGCAGATCCCACATGGCTGACAGGGCAGTTCAAGTCCCAGACCAGAGACCTGAAAAACAATCCTGGCCAGGGTACACGGATGTCCAAAATCCCAAAAGGAGGGATGGAGAAGAAGGGACTGCAGCATGACTGTCTCCTGGGTCTGAGGGAGGAGTGCTTTCTCATTTTCCCTCTCTCTCTCTCTTTCTCCTCTCTCCAGCAAACAAATATCCTCTGGCAAATTATAAAACAATAATAATAATAAATAAAAACAGTAAGAAGGGAGTCTTAGTGCCTTCATAATGTATTGCAAAACCCATAGAGACCAGGATTCTGGTTTGGACTCAGCTAAAAGTTGGTCTAAGCTGCAAGTCTCTAAGGCACTGCCTTCTAATGTGTTAAAAAGTGAAATCTGGGTGCTTGAAGATTCTTTCTGATGCCAATATTCTATGCTAGCATTTTCAAGTTGATTATTAAGGCTACATCCAGGCACAAAAATATCAAGAGAGGCAGCCCACGTACACTTTTTAAAACCTTATATATATTGGGACCAGCAGATGACATAATGGTTACATCACTGGACTCCCATGTAGTCAACAGTGGTTCAAGTTCCAGACCCAGCAGCTTAAACTCACACTGCGCATATGTGTGTGTGTGTCCAAAATCCCAAGAAGAGAATAAAGGAGAAAGGATTGAAGCAATGACCATCCCTCCCCCGGGAGGGGGGGATAATTTCTTGCTTTCTGTCTATCTCTGTCTCTCCAGCAAGCACATATGCCCTATAGAAATTTTTTTAGATAAATAAAATTTTAAAACCACTATATATATATATATATAGTTGTCAGGAAACTCATGACACATTTTTGCATTAAAAAACATGTATTTTCTAATACCTCATGACTTTCCCAATGACCTAACAGTATTTGCTAGCAAGACTTTAAAGCCAATAAATAAAATAATAACATCCAAATGGGCTCTTCTTTTCTCTCATCTAATCCACACATTTTCACAGGGAAATTCTGAGGTGTACAAACTGATATTAAATTCACAAAAAGATTAAATGCTTGTGCTTATCTGATAAACGTGGCAATCTCTACAGTTTTCGTCCTTCTCTAGCTTCTGTCAGCTAAACAGTGAACATCTGGGACTTATCTAAAATGTGGATGTCTCTTCACAGCCATAGAAATGGGCTGCTCTGTGCTTATTGTGCAATTCTTTTGTAAAAAAATGGACTACTAAGAGATGACATACACAGTTGGGTTGGCTGATCTGAAGTTTATGCTTGCAGAATGATAGCTTATAGTCCTTCATCAATCAAGATTAATAACCACCCTGTCATTCAATCTCTACCATAGTGTTGTTGTTTTTTTTTTAATAAAATTTGACAGGGTGTGTGTGTGTGCTTCCTAGAAAGGAAAAAGAGAGGAAGTGAAGAAGAAAGAGGAAAATTGAAAAAGCACCTCTCTTGGGGAATGATCACAGTTCAATTTCTTCTTCTCCATTTCTCACTTCTTTTTAGGACATTGGGCATGAGCACACATATACCCAGCATGGTTTTCAAGCTGCAGGATCCAGGACTCAAACTCTATAGTCAGCCATGTGGGATCCAGCACCTCTAGCCACTATGCCCCTGGCTGGTCCATGCTCTTTCTGTTCATGTCTCATTTGAAATTTTATTCTTATTTTTTTTAAGAATTATTTAACTTTACTTACTTATTTACTTATTTATTTATTTGTTTATTTATTTTAATTTGACTAAAGAGGAACAAAGTGGGGAGCGGGGAGTGAGAAAGCAAGCCGTAAGTCTGGAACTTGAACTATGGTCGGCCGTGTGGGAGATCAGTGCCCTTAACCACCATGCCACCTGCTGGCCTCCAGAAATTTCATTCTTTTGTGATTTTTCAGGGGCAATAAAAGCCTGCATGACTGAATACATTTTTTCAGGGGCAATAAAAGCATGCATGAGTGTATACATAAAGGAAAACGTTGAAATTAGTGTACAGACTGCTATATCTCCCAGCTCTCCCAGAAGAAGGCACAAAATTGATATTCTTTGTGACCTGCCCATATGTTAATGACTGTTTACCAAACTAAACATTCATAGATTAAATCAGTAGTGGACATTTCCAAGACCATAACACTTCATAGGTTCTGGCTTATTCCTTTCATCCTTACGTATATCAACTTCATTTTTTTAAATTAATTTTAATTTAACATATTAACTCTACATTTTGCTCAGATAGCACCAAAAATCTAAACAATGGGCCAGCCCCAGGGCCAAGTGGTTAAGGGAGCTGGATCCCATATGGCCAACTGCAGTTCAAATCCCACCAGCTTGAAAAACACTCTTGAGTGTGTGTGCATGTGAGCCCAAAATCTCAACAGGATGGAGAAACAGAGAAGAAAGAATGGCAGTATGACCACGTCCCATTGGGGAGTGCTTTCTTCTTCTCTCTCTGTCTCTTGGCCTCTCTGGCAAGTGCATGTGCCCTTTGGCAATTACAAATTTAAAAATCTGAACAAAACTTAGGCCTTCAAGGTTTGCCTTTACTAAATTCTTGTTCTTCCATCTTCCTAGAAGAAAAATAAGAGGAATCTGGAAAATTAAAGTTCCACTTTTTTATTTGTAGCATCATAATAGATATTACTACTCACCCATAGCTAATTCAAAATATTTATATACTGTAAACTTTTTTTCCCCAACCTTTCAGACCTGCATCTTTCATAACAAGATATTTTCCTTGTGTTGAAAAATTCTCTGGTCAAAAAGGCCAAGAAAAACATATGGTATATACACTTAGGGAAAAAAAAAAAAAGAGTCACAAAAAAAAAAATGGAGCAATAAGAACAGAAACAAAACCTTTTGTTCCAAAAGCCTTCAGCTTCTGGTGAAGGCCTGTGACGCAGGCATAAAGCTGGGCATGGGGGAAGTCAGTGTACACTGACTCATTTGAAAGACAGTACTGGGGAACTCCATAGCACAGTGGCAATGCTGTGCTCAGGAGAAGTCAGATCCCACATGGAGATGCAGTTCGAATCCCCAGCTGGTCAGCCTGAAATACACTGGACACATGCACAAGTGTGCAAGATGGAGGTCTGGAGAAAAGGGCTCACATGTGACCAGAACCTGTGGAGGGTCTCTCTCTCTCTCTCTCAACTGTGCACACAAATAAAGTAAAAAACATTTTAAAATAAATAAGATAAAGGCAGTGCCCGGAGTTATGGGGGAGCTTGTCTCCAGTTCAGCAGTTCCTTAGGAGACCTGATGCTGGTGGGGCTGGTGGAGCTGCCATCCCTCCCAGCATGCCCCTATCCCAGAAACCTAAGGCCAAGGGTATCATCTCGTCTCCCATCACGGGATAGGAGCACAGGTAAACACCATCCACTTGTAAGTGGCAAAAAGTAGGAAGTTAAAAACAAATGACAGCAACCCAGAGGTGCCCAGGCATTAAGAGATTTTAACTCTCAGAATCAAATTATTTGCTTCCCAGGCCTAAACAATTATTTTGTTGAAGACAAAGACCTATGGGCTGACCCCACAGCCTAATGGTTAAAGGAGCTAGGGTGGTTTGAATACCACCTCTGGTAGCTTGAAAAACACGCTGGGTGTATGTGCATAGTGCCCCAAATCTCTGACAGGATGGAGAGATGGAAGAGAAGGGATTGAAGCATGGCTGTGCTCCATGGAGGTGTGGTTTCTCCCTCAACCTCTCTCGCAGTTCCTTAGGAGACCTGATGCTGGTGGGGCTGGTGGAGCTGCCATCCCTCCCAGCATGCCCCTATCCCAGAAACCTAAGGCCAAGGGTATCATCTCGTCTCCCATCACGGGATAGGAGCACAGGTAAACACCATCCACTTGTAAGTGGCAAAAAGTAGGAAGTTAAAAACAAATGACAGCAACCCAGAGGTGCCCAGGCATTAAGAGATTTTAACTCTCAGAATCAAATTATTTGCTTCCCAGGCCTAAACAATTATTTTGTTGAAGACAAAGACCTATGGGCTGACCCCACAGCCTAATGGTTAAAGGAGCTAGGGTGGTTTGAATACCACCTCTGGTAGCTTGAAAAACACGCTGGGTGTATGTGCATAGTGCCCCAAATCTCTGACAGGATGGAGAGATGGAAGAGAAGGGATTGAAGCATGGCTGTGCTCCATGGAGGTGTGGTTTCTCCCTCAACCTCTCTCTCTGAAGAGCACACACACCCTCTGTCAAAGAAAGAAAAAACAAAACAACAAAACGCAAGGATCTAAAGATGCTTCTAGTTTTTGCCCCTTAGCATTCGCCTGCCTCCTGCTTCAGCAGGGAAGAGGTATGCGGAAACACATTTGCATGGGAGAGAATTCATTCTGCCCAGGTGGGGCCCTTGCTTTATCACTTTTGTAAGAAAAGTGAGAATAAGAAAAGTGACAGGAAGGAAGGAATATGAAACCTGTCCGCAGCCATGACGGGGGCCCCAGCATTATTCCAGATGCTAGCAGAATGATTTGGTCAGGGAAGGAAAACTCACCCCAGCTGCAGCTGGTGACAAATGACTGATGCGTCGGAATCATCCCAGTGGCTGCTACACACGGAGCCCCAGACTCCACTCACGTACACTTCCACGGTGCCTTCCAACTCATTTTTGCCACCACGAAGCCGCACTGATCCTAAAGTGGATAGAATCCCAAAACTCTTTAGTAGCAAAATATCCTTTGAACATACTGAGCCAGCTGAGGGTTAACATGACTTTTAAACTTAGGTGGTGAGTGAGTCAGTCAAAGTGACTTAGCCTCCACGGCACACAGAGGGTCTGTCATTCTTTAAATGAGGATTTAGCCATTCTTTAACTTTGTAATTAACACACTGATATCAATGCTAACTGTACTTTTCTTTTTAAATCTAAGCAAATAGAGAGACCAACTATGATTTTTAAAGGAGAAAAGCGGAAGAGTCTGACTAATATCAGACCTCGCCTCCCACATGCTAGATCGCATCACATAGGAAGTTCGTGTCATTTATGTATCACCTTCCATCTTCACATGAGGTCATCAGTTAGACACAGAAACGAAATTAAGTGCTCTGCTTATAAATTAGTTGCAATTAGCTACGTCATAGCTTCCTTCTAGTTGATTTGTTCACCCACTAGAGAAGAATAAAGTGTTTTCCCCCCCTTTAACTTCAAGCAGGAGTCATGAAAAGTCTAAAGATTATGACCACAATTTCAAAAAGACATTAGTTTTGAAAACAATGCCTAAAGTTAATCATCACTGGTAAAATAGCAACCAGGAAGCATGGTTTGGTGTAGCTGCATGCCCCGGAAATTCATCTCCTCTTACATACCTTCCCCACTGAGCAGCCCCAAAGTTCACAACTTGAGTCATTCTAGTCAGTCTTTTATTTTTTAGTTTATTTATTTCTTCCACGAAAGACAAAGAGATAGAGATAGAGAGATACTCAATTAAGTCTCCACACCATGACCTATCCTTGGCCCCAGACAGCCCAGATTGCAACAAGCAGGCACTCCTAATGTGGTCAGGGAGGTCCCGGGACATGAGCCCAGAACCCCTCCCATGTGGGGTGAGCCACATTACCAAGCACCACTGTTTGGCCACTCTTTACACTCTTTAAAAGGGTCAAAATTTAAAAGTAATCACCCAGTGGCCTAGTGGTTAGGGAGCTGGATCATACATGACTGGCTATGTAGTAGTTTGAGTGCTGGACCCAGAGACTCAAGAGCATGCTGGGCACATTTGTGTCCATGCCCAAAATCCTAAAAGGAGAGAAAGATGGAGAAGAGATTGTGGCATAACCATTCCCCATGGTGGGGGGTGGGGTACTTTCTCTTCTCCTCTTTTTCTCTGTCTCTCTCTGGCAAGTGCCTGTGCTCTCTGCCCCCGCCCCCCCCAAAAAAAGATACTGAAGTTAGTCTATTATCTCTTTATGAATTCTCCACCCACCATGAAATCACTCATGCCAAGAGGGTTGGAGGAAAATTCTAGGAATAAAAACAAATCGGAACTCTACTTAAGCATGTTAAATAATCCTAAAATTTACAATAATACCTATATATACATATATAGAAAGACTATGAATAAGAAATGCTGTACACATAACATCCAAATTCATTGAGATATTTGAGAGATGAGAAGGAGAAAGCAGAGAGTACAATAGAAAGATGATCACAACATTCTAAGGGAAGCAAGAGTACCACAAATTGCTGCCAGGTCAACTATCACTGTACCATCATTTTCAGATGCTCCAAACATGCTGTGAAAGTTTGGGTTCATGTAGCCGTATCTGCCATATGGCAAGAAATGTGGACTGCTCCTCCAATTCCCTTTAACGAATGAATGCAAATATTTACAACTCTGAGAAGGCAATTTGTATGTCAAGGACTATTGAATGCTTTTAGGGTCCACTCCCAGCACCATCAGTCCCACAGAAACACCTTCCTGGAGTGTCCTTCCTCACAGCTTATCCTTTCCTGAAAGCCATAACATTTCCAAGGTACTCTAAGGAAACCATCTACTTTGGACTCAGGGTGACTATTCTTAATGGTACATAATTCTATGAAATTATCAATTCTTCTAATAATTACTTAAACATCGGCTTAATAATATACTCTAAAGTTGTAAAAGCTGGGGCCAGCCGGTGGCATGGTAATTAAGGCAGGTAGATTCCAGATAGCCGACTGCACAGTTCAAGTCTTGGACCTGGCAACTTGAAAAACATGCCAGGCATGTGTGTGCAAGCTCGAAATCCCAAAAGGAGGGAGAAATAGAGGAGGAGGGATCACAGAGCAACCATTCCCTATGGAGGGGAGCTTTCTTGTTTTCCCTGACTCTTTCCGTCTCTCTTTTTCTCTGGTGAACACGTGTGGTCTCTAGTAAAATAAAAAAGAAAAGAAAAGAAAAGAAAAGAAAAGAAAAGAAAAGAAAAGAAAAGAAAAGAAAATTGTAAAAACGTGAACATGTAATTTATACTATATATAATATATCCAAGATAGGTAGTAATTTTCACTTGTTTTTTGTTTTATTTTGTTCTTGCTGTATTTATTCTCTAGAACAGTTGAGGTAGTTGAAGCTTAAAAACAACTTCTTCTGGTCCATTTAATGATGAAGAAGTGATGGCCCAATGGAACTGAGTAGTTAGAGCGGTGGCCTCCGATCCCCTACATTCGACTATTGTTCCCTGGCCTCAAAACCTAAGCAGACATCCTTCTAAAACATTATCTATTACTTTATGCACTATACTGTGTTGACATTCACTATTCTATTTGCAATACTGCAACTAATCTACTGGATGTTTTATGGGAATAAACTAGCGAGGCAGGAGCAGAAGGCAGCCTGAAGTGTTTCTACACAATGCACAATGGTAGAGACCTGGCTTTCTGGTGATTCTATATTTGAGGCTGATCCTCTGTGAAGGCTGATTTGTTCCATGGGTTGTACAAATGTGTAGGAAGACTATAAGTTGTGTGTGTGTGTTTTCACAAACTTATAGGCACATAGACACACAATTATAAAATGAAAAAAGAGAGATAAACTTAGTTCAATTAAAAATAAAAAGAATGTGAAACCATCAGATGGTATAATGGTTATGTCGCTAGGCTCCCAAGTAGTCAACAGTGGTTCAAGTCCTGAACCCAGTAGCTAAAAACTATACCAGGCACATGTGAGTGTGTGCCCAAAATCCTGAGATAAGAATGGAGGCGAAGGGATTGCAGTGTGACCATCCCCTGTGGGGGGTGATTTCTCACTTTCTGTCTTTCTGGTGAATGCATGTGCCCTATAGCAAAAATCTCTCTTAAAAAAAGAAAAGAAACTGAAGAAATCTAGAAAAGTCAAAGCCTGGTAAATTAATTTCTATTGCTATACCTACTAATAAAGTTTTGACACAAATTGCAAACCAAATTCCTTGTTTAGCAAATTTTGTTGAAATGTCACAATCTTTTAATATAAAAAAAAATGGATCTTTTTGCTTTCCCTCACACTCTTCTACCCATAAGATGCTTCTTAGAGTCCCCACTAACACTCTTCTACCCATAAGATGCTTCTTAGAGTCCACAGTAATGTCACTGGACCACACACACCGCAGTGGATCTAGGATTGCATGGTCTTAAAGTATCTCAGGTACCAATTTGATAGAAACTGCTCTATCCTAAATATTCTTATCTTAAAAATGTGTTAATAGCAATAATTTAAAATTTGAAGCCTCAAATAGAAGTTTACTAGGCTACCTAAGGCATTACAAATTTATGGACCCAACCAGTAATGGGAGGAAGTCTGGGACTGTAGTGCCACATGTGACGTCATACCATAACTAGAGCTCTAGGCACGATGCCATGCCATGGAGAGGGCCCCCAGGTTTATGAAATAAGTTGCTACTAAATAAAAAGAAAAAAATGTCAACTGTCCACTGGTCTTAAAACAACTTAAGAGGCAGAATGTGCAACAATGCTTAGAATCCTATCTTAATTCCTTACCGATAATGTTTAACTTACTGTCGTTTTAGTTTACAATGCATTTTCTTCTATGTAGATATAGCTCTAGTTTTATAAAGGAAAGTTGGCCTGATGGTTAAGGTGATTTGACTCTCTACAGTTGGCAGCGTGGTTTACGTCTCAGACCAGCAGCTGAAAATAGGGTATTTGCCAATGACCAAGTTAAGATGAAGTCATTAAGGTGGGCTTTAAGGTGAGCTTTAATCCAAATGACTGCATTCTTATGTAAAGAGGAATTTTGGACACAGAGAGAGAACTCATGTAAATACTGATGTTACACGCTAACAAGGCAAGAAACCACCAAAAGCCTGTAACAGATCCTCCCCTAGTGCCTTTACATGGAGACTTGCCTAGCCAAGACCTTGATTGTGGACTTTGAGACTCCAGAACACCAGGACAATAAGTTTCTGTTAGTTAAGCCACTTGGTTTGTGGTACTGCTTTTGATAATCCTATCAAAGTAACAGCCATTGTGGTATGACTCCTCCTTGGACAGCTAAAAAAAGTCTCCCTTCTGATACTCCATACTTGAACAAAATCTTTTTAAAAATTAGAAAAGCAATGAAATGAGTCAGCTCCTCTCATACTATAAACCCAGCTCATACCACTATAAAGCAAATGAAAAGATACTTGTTTGGATAATTAAAATACACTCATGGGATGGCATTCATTCATTTAAAGAGAAAGAAAATATGGCAAAAACAGAGCCAGCCATGGTGGGTGGTGGCACAATGCTCTGCAAATTATGGGCAGATATGCACATGTCCATAATCCTGGCTGGCAGAGGGTGGTGGTAGATCATGGCATGGAACCCTATTGAGGGTCTCTCTCTCTCTCTCATGAAATAAAAATAATAAACTTAAAAAAATACAACAAAAATAAGACCCAGTAGTTTTCTGAATAAAATTAGTAATAAATATCTTTAAAATATTTCAAACCATAGTTTAAGAAAAGAGTAAAAGGGAAAAAATTATATATTATGTAATGCTTTCTCATTTATTATTGAACTTCACAGATGCATAAAATAATTCATTGCAGTCATTTCTATTGTTCTCATGGAATAGAAAGAATATATGTTGGCAACATGACGTTATGGCTCAGATTCTAGAGAAAAAATATACTACAGTTATAAATGATATAGAAATTTCAGGCTATGGACTATTGG